GGACCGGATGGGACTCAGTTAGCTGTACGAGGGATGGTAAATGTAAGGTTGGACTATAAGAACAAATCTTGTTTCGAGCGTTTTTATGTAGCAGAAAAATGTAAAACACCGCTCCTAGGTAAACCAGCCATTGAAAAACTAAACCTTCTACAAGTTGTCCGAAGTGTGTCTTCAACTTTGACAAACTGGTATGAAAAATATCCATCTCTTTTCAGTGGTTTAGGTAAAATGAACGGAGCCTATGAAATTGAGTTAAGCCATTCTCAATTACAGTGCCTCAACGATTACCTCTACCATTATGGTCAAAAACCAAGGAAGAGATCGAAAGAATGGTAAATATGGAGGTCATAACTCCAGTAGACCATGCTACACCTTGGTGTTCTCCGATGGTAGTCGTACCAAAGAAGGACAGCGGTAACGTCCGGATATGTGTTGATCTTTCAAAACTAAACCAAAGTGTTCGGCGCCAGTTACGTCCAATTCCAGGGATAGAATACACAATAGCACAGATCAAAGGAGCTACTGTGTTCTCAAAGCTAGACGCCAATCACGGTTTTTGGCAAATACCTTTGGAAGAAAATCACAAGATCTCACCACTTTTTTGACACCTTGGGGACGATTTAAGTTCAAGGTCCTCCCCTTTGGCATTACATCAGCTCCGGAGTATTTCCAGAAACGCATCCATGCTGCTCTTGGTGATCAAAGAAATGTAAAAGCTTACATTGATGATATCCTAATATGGGGAAGCACACAAGCCGAGCATGACAAGGTTTTGATGGAGGTTCTGGAAAAGCTTCAAAAGGAAGGCATTACCTTGAATAAAGAGAAAACAGTCTTTTCACAGCCAAAAATTAAGCTCCTTGGCTTTGAACTGAGTGCTGATGGCATTTCTCTTGATCAGGAGAGAGTTAAGGCTATTTCTGAGATGGAGCCTCCAACTGATGTGAAAGGTGTACAAAGATATCTTGGAATGATCAATTTCAGTGGAAGATATATTCCAAATAGGTCTGAGATTTTGAAGCCTATTCACGAGCTACTCAACAAAAATAATGAATGGATATGGGACAAACCACAACAAAAGCTTTCGATACTATCAAAAATCTTCTTACTACGGCTCCTCACTTAGCTTTCTATGACCCTAATCTCCAAACAATGATTTCATCTGATGCATCATCATTTGGTATCGGCGGAGTATTGTTGCAACAAGAAAAAAGTGGCACATTCAAACCAGTAAGCTACATATCACGTTCTCTCACTGATGCAGAAAGAAGATATTCCAACGTAGAACGAGAAGCTCCGGGAATCGCCTGGGCATGTGACAAGTTGAAAGACTACATAGTTGGTAAGGACATAATAATCGAGACAGATCATAAACCACTTTTGAAGATTTTGACGTCAAAAAACTTAGATGAATTAACTCCACGTCTACAGAGAATAAGACTAAGAATGATGCGTTACTCATACAATCTTGTATATACTCCTGGAAAACACCTAACAACAGCTGAATGTCTTTCACGTAACCCTCTAAAGGACACTGAAAACTATGACTTAGAGGAGGAACTCACTTACTACGTGAGACAAGTCATTTCCAGTGTTCCAACTACTGATGAAAATATACAGAAAATTCTAAATTGTCAAAGACAAGATCCAATTTGTATGAAATTACGGAACTTAATCATTGATGGCTGGCCAGAAAAATCTGAAATTCCAGATCAATTAAAGACATTTTTCAACGTAAAGGAAGAACTTTCTGTTGCTGATGATCTTGTATTACGAGGAACAAGAATATATGTTCCAGAAACATTGAGAGAAGAAATGCTAAAACGAATCCATGTAGGACACTTGGGAGTAACAAAATGTAGACTTCGAGCCAGCAACAGTCTTTGGTGGCCAGGAATATCTCTTGAGATTGCAAAGATGGTTGAAAGTTGTCCACAATGTATTCAGCACAGGAAAAACGAAAACGAACCACTTATCCCAGCAGAGTTCCCTTCAAGACCTTGGCAGATTGCAGCAATGGATCTTTTCAAGTTAAGTGGTCAGTGGTTCATCGTGTTAACAGATTGTTACTCACGATACTTTGAAATTGCAACCTTACGTTCTTTGACAAGTCATCAAGTCATTGAAAAATGTAGTATTAAGTATGTTCTTTTAGTCATATGATTTATTTGTGTTTAAATATCTTTTGTTGACAAATGATTTTTGTAAACATGTTTTTGTAAACATTGGTTTAGTTGGAAATAGAGTTTGTTGAAACAAGATGTGTGTTTAATATTGTTGTATTAGAAATAGAACAAATCAGTATTTAGCCGTCATGGAATTCCAGAAGAAATCAGAACCGACAGCGGAACCCAATTCACCATGCGTCAAGGTTCGGAATTCCAGCAGTTTTCCAAAGACTACAATATCAAGTTAAAGACAAGTAGCCCTCACTTCCATCACAGTAATGGAGCTGCAGAGGCTGCAGTGAAGATAGCAAAATGCATCCTAAAGAAAAATAAAGAAGACCCTTACCTGGCACTCTTACCGTAACACTCCAATATCGAACGGGTTTAGCCCTGCACAACTACTAATGGGACGACGTTTACAAGACAACCTACCAGTTTTGCCAGGACTTTTAACAGAAAAGCCAGATTTGAGTGACTTGAAACAAAGGGAGAGGAATTATAGAGAAAAGTACAAGAGAAATTATGACTCCAGGCATGGTGCCAAATCTCTTGGAAGTTTGAAATCTGGAGACAGCGTTTGGATATCTGACGTGGGAAAACCTGGAACGGTTGTAAAAACAGCAACTGAGCCACGATCATATATTGTCAGGACTGATACAAGAGACCTAAGAAGAAACCGTTTCCATCTTCTACCATTTCCCGATGACTTGAAAAGTACACCATCACGAGACAATGTGACAGAACAAAATTCAACAAGTGTCTGTACTGTACCAGAAGTCCAAAACCACAAGAGGACAACTCAAGTTACAAGACTAGACACGGGCGTCAAGTACATCCTCCAAGGAGACTTCGATCTTTAAGGAGGGGGATGTTTCATGACTGCAAATAAAACATGTGTTTTATTTAGGATATTATATTATGATCAGATGTAAACAAATATTGTTATTAGTGTTATAGACTTCTTACAACAGACATGTTCAAATAAAATGTTATCAATTTAGTTCATTCCTAATTATTTTTGTCACGAAAAGTATAGACGGTCGTGATACTTTAACTTTATTTTAACATTTTCTGTAGAATATTTAATATTTTATATAACATATGTAACAAAACATGTTGACCTTGTCTATTGTAATGTTTATATTACCAAACGACAATAAAGATATATTATTATTATACACTTTTAAAAACACCCTGTATATGAATTTGAACACATGGTGTTTTTGGCCTCTTGGGACATTAAAAGGAAAAAACCTTAATTGGTCCTGGGTCCTGGTCTTACCACTGAGACCAATAGCTGAGATAAGCTATTACCCCTTAGGTAATAGCTTATTCCCAATGTAGTTCAATAAAAATATGTTTTGACCCAAACAAAATGAGCATATCTAAGGAATTTGGTACAAATGTTGGGTGTATTGGTAACTTCCTTTTGAACATACTAAAAGTCCCCTAAAATTGAAGCTGTGCTACGGCTACCATATTGGAAAATGGCGGCATATATCTGTATTTTTGGCTATAGTGACTTTATTATTAGAGATGCAGGAATAAATAGGTATACAAAATTTAGTCCATCTAAAAATACTCATTTTTGTTTTAGCGAATTTCCCATATAGGGAATAAGCTATTACCATAGTACTCATGGTAGGACCTGGACGCGGGACCGATTTTTTTTTTTCATTTTGAGGTCCCTAGAGGCCAAAAACACCATCCGTTCAAATTCATATATATATATATATTTATATATATATATATATATGTGTGTCCGTCAGCACGATAACTCGAGCAAAAATGATCCGATTTTGATTAAATTTGGTACAAACGTGTAAACGTACGTTTATTCGAACGAGTTCGTGATCCAGCATGATCGGACCATGGGAACGGGGGTTTACGGGCGGGTTTTATGGGGTAAAAATAGGTTTTTCCCATTTTTGACCCAAAAAACATAAAATTTAGCAATTTCTTTCCAAACCATTTTGTAGAGCTTAAAAAAACAAATAATTTACTATATTGAAGCGTTATTATGCGCCTAATGGTTACGGAGAAAATTCCAAAAAATTGTAAATATAAAATTCCCATGTTATTCTTATGGAGAATAAGTAAACTGTTGTAGTTTGCTTGATTGTGAACATATTTTGATCAAATTTGGAAAATGTTTTTATTTCTTACTAACTATTCACATTTTACAAAAAAAAAAACAGTTTTACCCTCCCTGATGCAGCAAACCTAAGTACTTGAATTCTAAAAATCAAGAATAAATGTTATATTTTTAAGTAGACATTTCAGTGTAAATCCAATTAGTCATATGGAAATTCGCTTAGTCTGCAGGTTTGCTGCAGCGGGGGTATTTTATCATATTTCTCTAAACCCAACCATTTTTTACTTAAATGTGATTAAGTATATTTAGTGTTTCTATTTATAAAAAAAAAGGCGAAACCCATGGAAATCGACGGTTACTTTCAAGGTTTACGATAATTCATCCCATTTAGTTAAATAGTGCGACACCATAAAATCTTAAAATTTAACTTTATTTTATGAGTAAAACAACTCCACCAGCTAACCTGCAGACTCAGCAAATTTCCTTTTGATTGGATGTTTTATTAAATGTATATAAATAAAATTAGGTATAACAGTTAACTAGGTTTGCTGCTACAGAAAGGGTAGTATAGTGTGTGTGTGTATGTTTTTTTTAATAACAATAACTTAGTATAAAATAAACTAATTTTCCAAGTTTGATCATAATAAATCTAAAAACAAGCAGAATCTTTTAGGTTTATCGAATTTTCACTTATTTTTACTGCACTATAATCTAAAAAAAAACTAAAAAACTTTTACAGAGTCATATATTTATTCAAAGCAACTGACACAAAAGAGGAAGTAATACAAAATATCTAAACTGTAACTATAACATAATAGCAGACAATTTTAAATGTAAACTACACAAATTATTGAAAGTGGCGATTAAAATAAAAAAAGTAACTAAACTGAATGTTTATGACATTTTGTGGGCTTTGACAATTGTGTAGCACAAGTCCATTAGTTGCAAAAATTCACTTGCCCCATCTTGCAGCCTCCAACTACAAACAGCAATCTTTTCACAAATAACAGCTTTTTGCACATCATTCAAGTCCAAAGCACTAATGATGCTTTTCTGTATCTGGTCCAGAATCTGTGAAGCAGAGTAAGCTTCCATCATCATTTTGTCTATGTAGTCTTCCAGCTGCTGATATTCCTTACTTGCACACACCTGAAGCAGTCCTTTGATCCAATGGTCAGGAACAACTCCAGTCACCTCAAACACATCACTTGTGATCACCTGCTCTCCAGCTTTCAGTCGGGCACAAGATTGCAGGGATGTGATTGCACGTCTCATGTCACCTCCGGACATTTCCACCAATAAATCTAAAGCCTCTGGTTCACATTTCACCTTTTCTGCCTCACTGATTTCTTGGAGTTTTTCCATCATTTTAGTTTGGCTCAATGGCTTAAATCTAAATTTTGTACAACGGGATGTTAAAGGTTGTATAATGCAGCTCACGTAATTGCAGATGAGGCAAAAACGAGTTGAGCGAGTTTCTTTCTCCATTGTACGACGCAAAGCGGCTTGGGCGGCATTTGTCATAGAGTCTGCTTCATCTAGGATAACAATTTTGTACGGAGGACATGGACGACCATCGGGTCGTACTGAGCTTGCAGTTAATTGAGAAAAATTTTTTACTTTTTCCCTTATCACTTGAATACCACGATCATCAGATGCATTTAACTCCAAAATTCTTTCTTTATAGATATCCCCAAACAATTGACGTGCTGCGGCTATTATTGTACTCGTTTTACCCGTCCCAGGAGGACCATAAAAAAGAAAATGTGGTAGATCAGCACCAGTTAGTACCTGCCTTAAAACAGCAACAATTTCATTCTGCTCTACCACATCATCCACTGAGCGAGGCCTGTATTTTTCAACCCATGGTGTCAGCTTACTTTCTTTATTTGTTTTAGATTTTGATGAGTCTGCTTTAGCTAAGGTTTCATCTTTTCCAATTTTTCCAGTCTTCAAAAAAGATTGCATTTTCCTGAAACAAAAAAGAAAATTCTACAACATTATCAATTAAGGTTAAACCCATAGAACAGTCGGCTCAGGAACACTTAAAGAAGTAAATAACTCTCAAAATAGTGCTTGTGCTCTCTAAAAAAGACAGTACAGGTAGTTCTTGCTACAGATAGAGGAAAAAACACTCTTTGACCAAATAGATAGGCCTACTCCAAAATGCTGGAGAACCACCAAGAGTTGATACGCTAGTAAGGTCACAAACGTTTGTCCCAAGACGCTCAAGCAGACCAGGAAGAAACCCAGTGAGGTTGAATTTATAAGGCCCTGTACACATGAGGGCGGCAGCCGCCGCGGTTGCCATTGCGCGGGAACCGCGGCGGTTGAAAGTACAAAGGAGCAAATGGGACCGTTCACATGCAACCGCCCACTTCCAATCAACCGCAACAAACCGCGGCGGTCGTAGATTTCCCTTCGACCGCCGCGGCTCCCGTGCGGTTGAAGTTACTAGAGTTGGCATGAGAGCGTACACATGAGGGCGGTAGCCGCCGCGGTTGACTGCAGTTGCTACTATAGGATCACAGACATCTGCACGCTTGCCCTTTGCTGTGGACATCGCTCTCTCTCTCTCTGTGTTGGTGAAGTGAATAGCTGTGGCTGGAGTTGATGTAGTGCTCGTGGTGTAAGTTTACAATGGCCATGCGTGCTGCTGTGGAACCAGAAAACTTTGACACTGAACTGTTCACTAAAGAAGTACAAAAAGAAGATACGTTTAGGACATAAACTAAAAAAGATTGTTTGGCAAGAGTTAGTTGAGCTTTTTTCTGAAAAGAATTGTCAAGCGTTACGCGTTTAAAAGAAAAATAATTGGGTAAATACAGTACGTGCTGTCGAGCGACGGTCAATTCACACCGCAACCGCAGCGTAACCGCGGCTCCAACCGCTGCCATGTGTACGGTCCTAGGCGGCCGCCGCTGCGGCCACCGCGGCGGCTGCCACCCTCATGTGTACAGGGCCTAAGGGAGGAAGACTGTCATGTGTTACTATTTTAATTTAACCATATGATAATAGTTGTTTTCTTGTTGCTATGTTTTTGTTTTTAAGTTCACCTTTAAAAGTTTTCTTCTAAAATAAAATAAATACTACCTATCCTTATATATAATATGTGAAGGTGAATTCTACAAAACACTACTCCTACGTTAATAATGAACATATTTTTACAAACGATTTGTCAAAATGAAGTATTGGTTAGGGAGATGCCCCCTTTCACCAATTCCTGTCATAAAGGTCCTCGGGCTTTGCCTCACAGGCCATCAAAATACCAATGTATTTCTTATGGATAAAATATTTTGTTTACTTAAACGGACGAATAATTTGTATTAATTACAGCTGTTCATAGTAAACACAAGATACACACAAGAGCGTTCGTTTTCAGTTTCGGTAACTGGAGTGGAGTGATTGATTAGGCCTACATTATCTTTGAGTTTACTCTTTTAAGTCATCAGAAATAATTATGACTGTTATTTGTTTTGAAATAACACCTGTAATACTTTGCAATTTCTTGAATTCGAGCAACATGTGCACTAGTTTAATATAATTGATGAAGAAAATACATTTCACTTTTCAACCGCCTTTTTTATATATTTATATAGCCTATTACAAGTCAGTATTAAGTCATCAGATATAGTAAAACAAATCCTTGGTGCCTTAGGAAATAAAATAAACGGTATCAGCATTCTGATACATACTTTCTCCCAAAAGTTTGTCAACAACCTTTATCATGTGAAAGCGGTGAGAGTAAATATACGGAAATGGGATTTGTACAATTTTGTTCAGAATTTAAAGGACATAATACTAAATTTTTATCAAAATTGTTCGAGCCAATTTTGGGAAAATTCGATTTTTCCGTTATTTTATGGGGTTTTTATGGGAAAATAACATAATTTACAATAAGTTTTGAACCGTAATTTTTACAGAAATGGGATTTGTACCATTTTGTTCAGAATATAAAGAACTATAACATACTAAATTTTTATCAAAATTGTTCGGGCCATTTTTGGGAAAATCCTATTTTTCCGTTATTTATAGGGTTTTATGGGAAAATCCCCATTAAAAATCAAAATTTCAAAAAAATGAAAAAAAAAAACGCCTGGAGATACCATGGATTAGAACCTACATACCAAATTTCATCGAAATCGGACCACAGGTGTAGTCTCTAGCTCTGTACACATCCAGACACACACACACACACACGCACACGCAGACATCACTTCAAAAACCACTTTTTTGGGTCCAGGGGGGCCCAAAACGAATATATCCACTCAAAACTCAAACTCGAAAATTTTGACGAAAACAATACTTTCTCCATATACTATGGTATAGGGGGAGAAAGTAAAATGGATACTGTAGGCCTATATACATATTTAACTCAAAAAGTAACTAATTTTCTGAGCCAGGTGATAGGTTTGGATTGATTTTTTTTATCAATATCTATGTCAAACTAATATTTAATCCAAAAATATAAACAACTTAAGTATCGTAAGTTAGGTTCTCTGTGGAACGATATCTCAGATGTGATTAAAAATACCCTCACTGCAGCAAACCTGCCGACTAAGCGGATTTTCATTTGTCTGAATTTATTTTCAATGAAATCTATTTAAATAACATTAGGTTTAACGAGTACCTAGGTTTGCTGCTACTAGGAAACTAATAGTGTGTTTTTTTGGTAAAATACTAATAGCTTAGTATAAAATAAATAAATTTTCCAAGTTTCATCAAAATATATCCATAAACAAGCAAACTACAACATTTAACAATATTCTTCATAAGAATAACATGGGAATTTTAATTTTACAATTATTTGAATTTTCTCTGTTACCAATAACCGTACATAAACACTTTTACATACTTAATTATTTGTTTTTTTAAGCTCTTTAAAAAGGTCTAGGTCTAGAGAGAAATTAGGAAATTTTGTGTTTTGAAGGTAAAAAATGAGAAAACCCAATTTTTACCCCATAAATATAAATTATCCCATGGTCCGATCATACTGGTTCGTGAACTCATTCGAAATTATCTCGCCTTACACCTTTAAACCAAATTTTATCAAAATCTGATAAAAATTACTCAAGTTATCGCGTTCAAGAAAATCGGTTCCGGGCCTAGGTCTTTCCATGCCACCTACGGTAATAGCTACTTCCCTATAAGGATATTCGCTAAAAGAGCAAATAGCAAATAGCCAATGATTTTGATTCAAAATTGGAAGTAAGGTAGGTAGGCCTAGAGTAGGTCAGCCAAGTCAAAGCCTAGATTGATACAATTAAAAACAATGAAGTTTTTGGTTTCATATTTTTGTAAACACTAAGTTCCAGTAATAACTTCTTACTTAATAAGGGATCATAGATTCATTAATGAAATAGAAAGTTTTAACTTGAGACCAAATATAACAGAGTCTACTAGGATTACAGAGACCTCTAGCACTTGTTAGACAATTTCCTCACATATTTTAGACCATTGCATGCTTCGACAATTGAACCTCATATCTCTGATCACTGTGCCATTTCCATTAAAATAAATGTAAATTCAGATGATTCTAATAGACACTATTCAAATCAAACAACGGTAGAAAAGAGAAACATACAGAAAATCTTAGAGAATTAAAATTTAGACTTAAATATGAAAACTGGAATTCTGTGTACTTGGCAAATGATGTCAACGAGATGTATAATAGCTTTATTGACACGTTAAAGTATCACTTTGATATTAGCTGTCCAGTAGTTAAAAATAAAATAAAACAGGAAATATGAAAAGGTCCAAGTGGATGACAGCGGACATTCAAAAATCAAAGAAGGATATGTTCCAGCAATAAGTATAACCACAGCAAAAATAAATCAAAGGCCTCTTGGAATGTGATTAACAGCTTAAGAACACAAAAAAAAGATAATAGCACCAATATAAACTTGAAAATAAATGACAGAACCATAGAGGATCCTTGCCAAGTCGCAGAAACATTTAACACATATTTTGCAAATTTATCAAACCTTGTAAATGGCAACCACCTAGGCTTCCAATTCTCAGGTTTTCCTAGCAAAGATAATACAGTCTGCAAAATGACCGATTTTTCAAAGATCACACCTCAAAAACTTGATGATATCCTCTCCAAAATGGAATCTAAAAAAACTAGTGGAATCGATGAAATCAGCGTGCACACACTGAAATTTTGCAAATCTGAGATTTTACTGCCGTTGACTCACATAGTAAATTTTTCCTTAAAAACTGGATTTTTCCCTGAAAATTGCATAGTAGCTAAAGTCAAACCATTGTGATTTTATGTATACTACTGCTTCGTAGATGAATATGGAAGGGACAGTCAAGAGTCCAAGCTGGATGAATGCTTCTCTGCAGCTGGCATCTGGTGGCATGCTTAGGATGGTCCTTATTGTTTTTTTTTTTTTTGCCAGACAAAAACTGTTTCCAAATTCTTTTTGTTGGAAGAACCCCACAAAATGATAGAATATGAAATGTACTGCTCGAACAATCCGTGTTAGACGAGGCTGGACAGAGCATCGCTGCTGTATGACCTCATCCTACGTAGAATGAATAGTCCTCGAGCAAGCGATCTCTCTAATCCATAAATGTGCTCGCCCCATCCGAGTCTATCATCCAGCCTCACCCCTAAGAAGTCAGCTGTTTTTAATTGTTCAATTTGATTCTCTCCTATAAATAGGTTCGGAGTCCTATTATTTTTGGAATTTTGCTTTTGTGCTGTTTGAAAACACAAATAGTATATTTTTTGGGAAATTAAACTGAGTTTTTGTTTGCTTCAAAAAATTTAGAAAGATCTGAAATTTTTCATTTGCTTCGCCCTCCAGAGCCTCAACATCCGACTCTGGAATCGTGTTGGTGATGTCATTAATGTAAACCAAGAATAGGAGAGGTCCTAAGACGGATCCTTGTGGAACTCCGCTTGTGATTTTTTGAGGAGTCGACATGACATTTTTAATTTTGTTATTTGATTTTCCTCTAATTTCAGTAATTTGGTATCGGTTTGTCATGTACGACTCAATCCATTTGAAAACAATTAATTCCGGAAATGCCAATTGAAGCCAAATTTTTCAAAAGAATGATATGATCGACACAGTCTAATGCTTTTGACAAGTCGGCAAAGCAACCCACCACTGTCTCACCAGCCTCAACCGCATCGATACAATCATTAACAAAATCAATAAGAGCCAATTTTGTAGATCTGTTTTTTCTGAAACCATATTGTCTATTACAGACAATATTGTTTACTTCAATGAATTCAGTAAGTTGCTCCGAAACAACTTTTTCAATTAATTTTGAGACTGACGGAAGAAGCGAGGCTGGACGATAGTTTCCCGGATCGGTTCTGTCCGCCTTTTTGAAAAGAGGAAAAGTGTATAGAAACAGACATCAGAAGAAAGCTCTGAATCTGCTGGAAAAAAAACGATACCTAACTCGATCCAGTTCAATCCGATTGTCAGTCAGTCCCAGAGCCGTTGCCGTAAACAGTGTTTGTGAGTCGCAAAAGCGACACATAACACTACGGCCGGTTTGTTATGGGTCGCTTTTCCGACACATAACACTCAGAGGGTTAACTAACCTAACCTAACCTAACGTAACCTAACCTTGGTTTAACTTGGACCAAATTGCCTGGTCAATTTGGCTTCAGGAAAGCCAAATCCACTATATTGGCTGTTGATTCTATTGTACAATTAATTGTTGATGCTTTTGAGTCTAAGAAATCTACCTCCGTAATACTTTGTGACCTCTCTCGCGCTTTCGATTGCGTGTCACATGAAATTTTGCTCCTGAAATTGGGAAAATATGGCCTAAAAGGCAGTGCTCTGAGATTGGTCAAATCCTACCTCAGTGATCGCCAACAGGTTGTAAGTTGGAATGGTATTACATCTAAACCATTAGCTGTAAGACACGGGGTTCCGAAAGGTTCCATTATGGGACCTCTGTTATTTTTAGTAACAATCAATGACCTCTATACCAGACTTGAAGGTAATTGCATGTTGTATGCAGATGATACTTCCCTTATATCATGTAAAGCGACCCGTGAACAAGCAGAGCTGTCTGTTAAGAAGATTTTTGAGTCAGCCTCAAATTGGTTTGTTGACAATAAATTAGTGCTCAATAATGAGAAAACACAGTACATAACATTTAGCCTATGTGATTCCCAGATTGTTCCTTTCCAAGAGCCTGTCAAACTCCTTGGTATAACCCTTGACCCCTGTCTCAATTGGAAAGACCACATAAGCCAAGTCTGTACTAAACTAAGTAGGCCTAGAGTAGTACATCTTTTAAGACGTCTAAGTGACCAATTGCCACAGAGTACCCTTAGAATGTCCTTCTTTGCATTTTTCCAACCTCACATATCCTATGGGTTAATTTTGTGGGGCCACTCACCCAATGTCGATAGGATCCTGCGACTGCAAAAGAAGGCAGTAAGGATTCTCTGTCATGCTCACTATAAAGAACACAGTAAGCCCTTGTTTAAGAGACAAAGAATTCTGACAGTTGTAAATATGTTTATATTCCAATGCCTTGTTAGTATTAAGAACAGCATGAATGATTTACATGTAACCAGTTCAGTGCACAATCATGACACTAGGTTTAGTTCTAAGCTTGTCATCCCTCGGTCCAGGACTGATAAGAGCTAGGTCATACCCTGTTTCAGGAATAAAACTGTTCAATCACCTTCCTGGTCATGTGAGATATCTGGAAAGAAAGAACTTCCAAACCGCAATATTAGACTGGCTGATTGAAAATCCTTTTTTCAAATTTAGAGTTTTTTGAAACTGTAGTTAGTTAAAGCCGCGTTTACACCGGAGTTTGAAACACGAGTTGCAAACAGAAATTGCAAACATCTCTAACAACGCACATTTTTAGACGAAACATTTTGCTGTTGCAAACAGTTTTTCAGTGTTTGCAACAGAAATTTTTGTTTCCACTTGAAGTCGGTAAAGATCAAAGGGAGTTGCAAACTCTTTGTTTGCAACACTAGTTTCGGTCACTATGAGCCGTCGAAACACGAAACAGAAACATTTCTCCACCTTCCCCTACGCTACCACCTCCACTCTCACTCACGTGATCACTGCGACCCTGTGTCTCGACTCAGTAAATTAATCGGAAAAATGCTGTTTGTCTGTCAATGAATTAACACTAACCTCGAATGACAAGATCGTCTAATTTAAAAATAACAATAACGTCACATGTGAATTAAAAGGGTTATAGGCTAATTAACTCCTTGTAATCTTTAAAAATGAATAATAATTTTAATTTGATGAATTATAAATGCACCGATGTTCAACCAGTATCGTCTCGGCCTACGTTGCTTTGACAACACGACACATGCCGCCGCGGCTAAAATAACATCCTCGACACTTGAAATCCTCGGAAGAACTGATGATCCGAGGAACCAGAACGAGACGAGTCATAATCAAGGTCGAAATTATTTCAAACATTTTAATGAAACATGGAAACAAATTATGAAATAAAAATTGCAAACATTTATTTGAAACTACTGTTTGCAACTGCTGTTTGCAATAAAAGTTTGCAACTTTTTGTTTGAAACTCCGGTGTAAACGCGGCTTAAGTAAGTTTTCCTCTGAACAGCCTGTTTGCTGTTTTTGCATAGTGCATGCATTTTGCATGAACTGCATTTGTTTGCTTTGTATCGTTTTGTGCATGGTCTTGAACATATTTTTTTTCACATGGTTGGTTTTGATCGATTTTTGGTTGGTTTGATTTTTAACTCTTAATATTTATTTTATTTTATGCTTGTACATTATTATGCTCGTACACTGACATAGCCTGTAACAATGTTGTTGTTGATTGGCCAAATAAATTCATTATATTCATTGTATTCATTGTATTGCAACTAATAATCCGCTATTTTCGGCATATTCTTACTGCTAACCTAAAAGCACTGGTTAGGTAGGGTTGGGTTAGGTTAGGTTAAGTTAGGTTAGGTTAGGTTAGATTAGATTAGGTTTATTATGTTAGGTTGGAATATATTTAGTTCTGTAGGTCCTAAGTAACAGTAAAATCACATTAAGAGTAAAAAAACCACGCAAATTTTTAGCACTTTTTGCAATTTTCAGGGTGAAATAGGCGTTTGCCCCAAAAGTGCCAAATGTAAAAAATGTTCAAAATAGGCCAAATAATGAGAAAAAAACATTGGTAATTATTCCAACGTAGTGACTACTCGCAAAAGTGAAATTTTTTGTTTTCATTATGACATAAATTTCACGCTGGATCCGAAAATTATGTTTTTAATTTTTTTGAAAATACCGGAAATTACCGAAAAAAGGGAAAAACGGGAACATTTTTTTTTACTCAAAATACGTCATGTGGGTACTCAAAATATGCGGAATATTGTGAAGATTAAGAATATGCAAGAATTTTTTTGGATCCAATGAAAAACACCGGAGATAGGACGAAAAAACTGAATAATCGGTTAGGTACGGCTTGGTTAGGTTAGGATAGGTTTGATTAGGTTAGGTTAGGTTTGGTTAGGTTAGGTTATTTTAGGTTAGGATAGGTTTGGTTAGGTTAGGTTGGATTAGAATACCCTAGGGTATTCTAATCCAACCTAACCTAACCAAACCTATCCTAACCTAAAATAACCTAACCTAATCAAACCTATCCTAACCTAACCAAGCCGTACGTAGGGTTAACCCTAACCTATCAAAAGGTTAGGTTGGGTTAGGTTAGGTTTGGTTGAGTTAGGTTAGGTTGGGTTTGGTTAGGTTAGGTTAGCTTGGAATTGGTTAGGTTAGGTTAGGTTTTGATTAGGTTAGGATAGGTTTGGTAAGGTTAGGGTTGACCCTATTCTATTCCAACCTAATGAAAACCTAACCTATCCTAACCTAACCTAACCAAGCCTAACCTAACATAACCTAACCTAATCAAACCTATCCTAACCTAACCAAGCCTAACCTAACCGATTATTCCGTTTTTTCGTCCTATCTCCGGTGTTTTTCATCGGATCCAAAAAATTCTTGCATATTCTTAATCTTCACAATATTCCGCATATTTTGAGTATCCACATGACGTATTTTGAGTAAAAAAAATGTTCCCGTTTTTCCCTTTTTTCGGTAATTTCCGGTATTTTCAAAAAAATTAAAAACGTAATTTTCGGATTCAGCGTGAAATTTAGGTCATTAAGGAAACAAAAAATTTCACTTTTGCGAGTAGTCACTACGTCGGAATAATTACCAAAACGTGTTTTCCAAAATTCGTTAGAAGCCCCTAAAGTAAACAAATACCGGCCTAGGACTAGGCTAACTTAGGCAATTACAAAATCACATAGCCACAACAGTTGCAAATATTACAGATATACACCAAACTTACTATCTTTCTGCATTATCGATATGAAAAGGTACTACAAAATACCTCAAAGCCCTCTCAAACACTGACACTTTATAATTTATCCTAACTTAAATCTTATTCCTATCAACCTATTGCTCCATTTTCGTTTTTAACCTCTTAGGCCCTACCTATAAATAGTCGGTTAATCCGTCACTGTGTTTGTGTTAAATGACAACTTACTACTTTACTAAGTTAGCCTATCTTATCCGGGTCCGGGCATCTACCCTCCTAATTAATATTAATTATAAATACTAATTAACCTAGTAAATACTACCTTTACCTTATACTACTTCAATGTTTCAATCTTCAATTCCCGCCAAAAATAAAAATGCAATATAAAATAAAAGTAGTGGTTGTGTTTTTTTTTATAGTAGAGGGATGTGTCACGGTCAGATGGTCGTCAGCCAAGTCTGTCTTCTGTCTTCATCTTCATGATCGTAGCCGTGGGAACGCACCAAGGCGCCACCACGTCAACCCACCATCATAAAGAAGAAGAAGTTTGAGGTGGTGGGTTGACGGGGTGGGCTGGTGGCTCGTTGTCGGAGGGGAACGCGCCAAGGCGCCACCACGTCAACCCGCCACCACGTCAACCCGCCATCAAAAAGAAGAAGAAGTTTGAGGTGGCAGGTTGACGTGGTGGCTCGTTGTCGGGGTGGCACGTTGACTCTAGCGTGCACGACAACCCGCCACCTCGGAAAAACGTGTGGTGGTGGGTTGTCGTGGTGGCACGTTGTCCTGGTGGTGCTTAGACGTGTTCATACACGTCAACCAGCCACCTCTTTAGTGTGGTGGCAGGTTGACGTGGTGGCTGGTTGACGTCTACGTGTGAGGTGGCGGGTTGACGACATTGAACATTGAGCGTACACGACAACCCGCCACCTCATAAAATAGTGATGGTGGGTTGACGTGGTGGCACGTTGTCGCTTACATGCGAGGTGGCGGGTTGACGAGAGTTAACATGGGGTGTACACGACAACCCGCCATCTTTGTAGGCAAAGCCGCTGTTGTCTGTGTATTATAAAATGCATCACTTTTTGCAGTTTACCTGGACATGTGTTATCTAGTTTACTGTGAAGTTAACTATACATTAGTTATTGTTAATTCATTAATGATTGTTAATTCATTATTGTTAATACATTTTTAGTTGAAGTTAAAGTAATATATTATTGTTATTTATTCTAATAGTTTATTTATTATTGTTACTGTTGAATTTTTACAGACATTTGTGTCAATGTTGTATTTTTTTTTTAATTACTCAAGAGACAATTAAGAACTCATAAAACTGCATGCTACTGTTTCAAACTGACAAAACTGTATGGTAAATAAGAAACAATATTTTTAGTGCAGACAAACCATTTGTGGTTTTTGCACTTTTGTATCCTATGTATTGGTAATTATTGTGTAAATAAATTTCTTGATTGATTGAAAAAAAAAAAATTTCGAATCGTTAGATCTGCCATAGAAATAAAGTACACGCATCCACGCAAGACAACTTTTCCTTTTAATCAACGGTTATTGTTTATAAGAATTTTAAGATAAACTCAATACAAATTAACGATTAAGGGTCATTCTAGAATTAAAAAAAAAATATTAATTATGTTTTCGCATATTTTCATTGAAGACAAAAACATGAAACTTAATTTTGAAAAATAAGATATTAGTTTCTTATGATTTTTTGTAGGTGCACACCTGGTATAATACCCATACTTATTTTCTTTTTCAGCATTATGACAATGCATTACAAAATAAGTTACCTAAAAACGTCATTTATTAATTGTAATTCACGTGTGTATGGCCTAAACAAAAATGATGAAAATGTATTGTTCGGTTATACTTTCTCTTAAAACCGTATTGTGGTGAAAATAATAATACATTCAACCAAAAACATAAAACAAAATATACATCGTTGATATAGAGTACAACAGACTAAAATGTGCTTTGTGTGGACTAGCGCGCACCTGTTTTTCTATTTAGAAGAATTTGAAAAAGGATACAGAACTAGACTCGACCCAACCGTGTAATGTACTTTGACCTCTGAGTCAAGGGTATTGCCCAGAGAAGTTCATACCAGACAGATATATTCCAAAAAACTCATTAGGAGATATCTTAAACAAAGATTTTTATTGCATTTTTGATGTTCTGCTTGAAATTCCATTTCATGCTTCAGGAAATACCTTACCGTTACTTAGTTATTATTCGGAGGCCACTTGTTTTAGAGGGATTTTTTTACCTAAGACCAAAAATAACTACATAATTAGAAAGAACCTATTTTAATTACCTTACTGTCCAGATTTGACATGATTGCAATTAGCGGGTTTTGAGTTCTGCCTCCCAGAAGGCAGCGGTGTCGGCGAAGATTTAGTTGAATGCGTCACCGCCCCTAGCTGCCACATGAACTCCGTCGAGTATGTATACTGCGCACTGTGGGCAGTATACACAATGGGCACAATGGGTTCGGGGCATTCCACTAATGTACTGTTGAAAATTGTATGAAATAATTGATTCATATTTAACAAAAGTATCTTTACTAACTAAACTAAATCTGTGTACAACTTGTAAACAAATCAAATCTAAACAATAACAATAATCACATAATAATGAAATCTATCTATCCATCTATCATTTACTATGTCTATCTATACTATTATAAAGAAGAGGTTGTGTAGTGTGTTTGTATGAGATAAACTATAAGCTACTGAACCGATTTGACTCAAATTGGACAAAAATCAAGCTACTGCTCCGAGGATACATATAGAACTACCCCTTCGATATTGAACTAGTACTCTGCTCCACGGGCTTTCAAAATTCTGAGGTGAGGGATTTTGAACTTATTTAATACGCAAGCAGGTTTTTTGTGACATTTACTCCTCCGATACTACTAAACGATTGGCACGTTTTTGGTGTCATTTGGAAAGTGCGTAAAGTGAAGTTGTACAGGAAACTTTCTTTTTAGGGAAATAATTAGGGTGAGGCCCTGGGGCCCTTTAAAGTTTCGTATTTCTCCATAAGATTCATGGGAAACAGACATTGTGATGTAACTCCAGCTGTTGTCAGAAATTAAAAGTGAGAAGAAGAACATATGTTAATTGTAAACATTATGTAATTTACACAATATGTGGTAGGTTTATTTATGCCATTGATTATTGAAATGAAGAAAAATTCTATAACCATAAGTTGTGAAAATTATGTTATTGATATATTTTAATGTTAACAGTAGGGCAATTACAATGTAGGGCATACTTTTTTGTAAAATTTGGTGGCTATTTGTTTAAAAGTTCAATATACTTAACAAGTGTTTGGATTAGGCAGTATGGACGTTTGGCACATCTTCCCGTTGCGAATATTTTTATCAACAGCAGAATATTGGTTTGGTTATCTTTTGCGATTACTACGTGAAATGAAAACAGTATTTAGGTTGGAAATTAAAGGACTACGGGAAAGTGAACTGACCTGAGTGATACGACACCCCAATAACTGGAATGGACTTTGATGAGAAAGAAAAATGTAAGAAATTTAGAAACGTGCGAGGGGATTAACGGGACACCCCTGTATTCTGTCCCTTATATTTCCTTTAAAGTTCCCGCTGTACTGACTGGTATGGGTTATGGGATTGTTTATATTAAACAATAGGCCAAATACTTTGCACCAGGTTTCCACGTCTACATTTTACAACATGCATTTCGTTCACTTTCCCAGTAATAACTCATGGTTCGTTCCTGATTTAGCAATAATGAGGCATATTGTGCTATTGTTTTAATACATACGAGAGAGATTCAAAAAGGCCAGAAGGCAGAAAACAGTTTTGAGGTAATAACATGCCTATATTTTAATCAGGAAAGTGTTATCATCATGCCAAATTTCAGCATAATCCCGATGTGCCCAATGAGTTGTTATTGAGTGATTGAACCCCAAACAAACACACAAACTTTCATTTGTAATATTAGTATAATTAGTATCACTGTACTTCAACATATATGAATCAGGCCGTAACTTGAAATAAACGCTTAGGCCAGTTACATTTTTACCATCCAAATGTAATATTATTTCGCCAAACAGCGTTGATCAATTATTAAACGGAGGAAAATGGTACCAATGGTCATTATCTTGTGAAACCCCCCAATTATTTATCAAAACAAAAATCAGGTTAACAAAAATAAAGGACTTTGGCTTTGACTTTTTTTCAGGTTATAATCCTATGTCAAATTTGTATCTAATCGTATTATACTGTATAATGAAACTGCTTGATGCGTAATTAAGTTTCAAATTAAACAGTAATATTATTTTAACCTATGTAGATACGATATACTGCACATTGTGAAAATTGTTTAGTCGAGGATACATTTACCTACCTACATATAATCATCATCATTATTTAAATATTTAATTGGCCAGCCCAAATGTTGTGAACATTGTTTTGAAACTGCTACACATCCGATCATAAAGTTTAAGGTGTCGTTGGATAGGTCGTGACTTGTAAATTTGCCATAAAACAAAACATTTTGAAATTTCATCAGGACTCTGCCTCAGTGGCCTTCAGCCAATTGAAAGCGTCAATATACGTTATTCAATTTATTTCATATCACGGACGATTACTTAATATCACACATTAGAAATGACAAAACAAGTGTAAAAATAAACGGTATCAGCATTCTGAAACATACTTTCTCCCATAAGCTTGTTAACATCCTTTATCCTGGGAAAGCGGTGATAGTATATAGTTAAAAATCATTAAATCTGCAATAACTTTTGGACCATAATTATTACAGGGTGTTGTACTATTTTTTTAAACATCATTTTTGTTTATGTTTATAATCCATGCCGGGTCTTTTCTAGTATTCGTGGTCTAATCACAGACTAAATACCGATCATTTCACCCGAATTACCTTTTGAATTCAAGTGAATACAATTTTATTTCCGTCTTGCTTTCGCAATCACCATTATATGGCACAACTATCCCTGACTACTGCCGGTTTAAATTTATAAAATGTATGCTTTTCACACGTATTTGGCGTGCGCACGTGGTGGTAGGTGCGCATAAAAACTTATATATATATATATATATATATATATATATATATATATATATATATATATATATATATATATATATATGCCTAATGAAAAAAAACATTGTTTATTCACTAGCAATTAAGTAAAATAATTCGTTTTTGGTATACATTATCATATCTCATATTAATACGTGAGGGCTGTTTTTTGTGAACACTACTCCTCCCTTATTTGTGGACAAATTTTAACGTTTAGGGTGTTAAAAGATTCGGCCCAATTCGTAGTTTTGCATTAAGATTTTACAATTTAATACTTACTACCCTTAAGGGCGTGAGACCCTTTCAAATGTCGGGTTTTCACCATGTTAATAATTGTATTACCTATCAATCTTTCTTCCGAAAATAAACTAAAATTTCCAGAAATGCTATTTAAGAGTTACATTAACTTTCTCTAAC